GTCATATGGCAGGTCCATTTTTAGTTTTCTAAGAGTTCTGTCACTATTCTCTTTAATTAACTCTCATAAATTACAGTTGTCTATTCCCACAATGATAACATTCAGATCAGTAGTGGGAATTGCAAGATTGGATGTGAGATTTCAAAGAAGGCCAGGAGACAAAAACACCCACTCTTTGGGGCCTGAAATGAAGAGTCCATAGGCCGGTCAGGAGAGGGGAAGAGAAGAAATGGAAAGAGCCAGACCTTAGATCTGGAATGATCCTGGAGCTTTCTCTGGGTTGAGACCTCTTAGTAAACCCTTGAGGTTCCATTTAACAGATGAGTGAACTGAAGTTGACAGATGTGAATCCTCCACTCGGGGAGTCAGGGCCTCAGCAAGCCTGGTTGAAGCTCCCAAGCCTGACTCCTTCATCCCAGGCCTAATAAAGGCAGCTACAGAAAATCTAGATCTGTTTTATAACAGGAAATGATAAGAGCATTGCCATTTTTCTCTAAAGTCAAAGAGGCCTGTTAACTAACAAAACAGGAAGAACATCTGGGCAGTCTCCCTGAGGCCCAGCTTTGTGCTGAGCCTGAGACTCACTTTCAAAGGTCATGCTCACTATCTGAGGTCTCCGCAGCCCAAAAAGCCCCCTAAGCCTGGGACACATCCATCAGTAGAAGAGCTGGGTAAGCAATAGGGCTCAAGAAGTCCCCCAAACCCCAAGAAGAGAGGAAAGATACACCGTGGCCCAACTCCACTGAGGAGCTGCTGTCGCAGACATGGAGACCCACCCATCCTGTGAGCCTGGGCCAAGGCCTCAAACCTCTGCCTGGGGAGTCTGCAGACAAGCTCTGAGTGGGTGGCAGGGTGCAAGGTGCCCCTGTATCCTGTTTTGTTCTGTACGGGTCTGTTCTGCACCCTGGCCACACCCCTCTGTGGTTTTTCTCTGGGTGACTTGTCCTTCCTTCTTGGTTGGCTCTGTGGTATACAAGCACAAGAGATTTCTAAAGAGAACTTCAGAGGGGCAAACCTGAGTTCAGGCCTGGGCTCTCTAGGTCTTCACTCTGTGCCAAATCTCCTACCTCACTCTGTCAGGGCAATGGCTGAAGGGGCTGATTTCATGAGTGCAGATCCCAGAAAGAAGATGAAGATCAGAGAATCGTGAGTGCCACGTACATCCCACTGTGCATCCTCCATCCTTCTGCTCTCTGATCCTTCTGTCATTCTGTCTTACCAACCCTTCATTCTTCCATCTGCCATCTCTCTGTCTTCCCAACCTCTCTTCCCCCATCTCCTCACTTTCCACTTCCCATTCGCTTCTCATTCTCCCATCCCTCCATCCTCCTATCCCTCATTCTCCTCCTCACCACACCAAATCACTCTCCCTGGCTAAGCCTGAGCCTTGTCCCTATACCCCTACATATCTGAACCTCTTCTGTTGTCTCTCTGTCCTCAAAGTTTCTCTCCCTATGGCTTTTCCTACCTCTCTTTTTTCCTTCCCTTTTTCTGTCATTCAGAGACATCTTGGAATTTAAAACCCTGAGTTCTGAATATTGAATAGAGTTTCCCAGGCCTGGAGAAATGATCCCAGTGAGACGTGCATTGGAAGTGGTAAGGGCCAAGGCCAGGGATGCCACTGTCCTATGTCCTCCTTTCCTTTGCCTCCACCCTCTCTGTCCAGGATAAAGACATCCAGAGGGGTCGAGCGTCGTCTTGCTCATTACTTAAAGCAACTGAAGAAGGAACAGCTGGAGGAGTTCAAGCTTTGGTTGGCCAAAAATGTACTCACTGATATATCAGCTCAGCCAGAGAAGGCCAGTGCCATGGAGGTGGCCTCATACATGGTGGCTAAGAATAAGGATCAACAGGCCTGGAAACTTGCCTTTCACATCTGGAAGCAGATGGACCTGCAGCTACTGTGCACCCAGGCACAAGCAGAGAAGTACTTGAGGTTGAGTAAGTACACAAATGCCCCAACCCACCTTACTAGGACCCCACCACCACCACTAAGCCCTCCTGCCAGGCCTTCTGTAGGATGGTGATTTGGACCACCATATCAAAGGAAGTCACAGGCCCCAGGCTAGCATGGAACTGGATGGCTTGCTGGAGTCCCTTACTGGACCCCACAGCCCTTTACAGCCTCTTCTTCTACTCAAGTGAATTGTCAGACCTCCATGTGGAAGGAGCCCCTGGGAATGAACCCTCTGAAGGTGGGGCAGAGGAAGGATGATGATCAAAAAGGCGCTGAGAGGGATGCATGTGAGATTCAAGTCCAGCTCCCAAGAGGAGCATTTGGAAGTACAGTAGATAGGAGCCCAGACTGGACTTTCAGAAAAGCAGGGCCCAGTCCTGGCAGTAACACCCTGGGCAAGTCACTTCACAGCACTCTGCCTCTGTTTCTCCATCCAGGAAATAGATAGGAGCCCAGACTGTACTTTTAGAAAAGCAGGGCCCAGTCCAGGCACTAACACCCTGGGAAAGTCACTTCACAGCACTCTGCCTCTGTTTCTCCATCTGCCTTTTTGGGCTGTGTGAGTTAAGTAATAATATACATTAAACATCAGTCTAATATAAAATAAATGCTCAATAGGCACAAACTCCTGTGATTACTACTGTTATTATTAGTGTTTGCAACCATGAGGCAGGAGCTCATAGCCCCAATGAGAGAGCGGAGGTTCAAAGGGCACAAGTGTCTTATTCAAAGAAGTAGCTCACATCCAGAACAGGTGCATGAACTTCATGGACCTGGGTCGGGACCATTTCCGAGCAGCACATGTGGGAGCATCCTTCTCCCCTTAAGCCTGTGGAGGCTGTAGAGCTTGATGTAAAGACTTCAGCCTCGCTCTCCTGGCTCCTGTCTCTTCCTCTCTGACAAGCCCTTAACCTCTTTCCTTCCGCAGCCCACTCTCCCTCATTTCTCAGTAGTCCCCAAACACCCAGAGAAGTGTCCCCTGACTTGCCAACTTCCACAACAGTGTTGAATCGAGGCCTTGAATCTCGGAGACACTCTATGATATTAAAGAAGAGTGGGAACTTGGGAACTTGGGATGGGGAACTCATAGGAAGGACAGGGGAACTGGGACTGGGTGGTGAGAGAAACGGGGTAGAGATGAGCTTTTAGTGCTCTCCAGTGTTAAGACTGCATTTGACAGATGGGTAAGCTAGAACTCACGTGGGTTGGGCAGTCGGTATAGTCCAATGGAACCCAGACAGAGCTCAGCTCATAATCTTGGTGGATCCTAATGATCCCTCAGGTCAAACAGGGTCAGAAGTACCAGAAGTTCTCTGTTCTCCAGATGGACCCACAGAAGAGGCTCGGCTCATGCCTCAGCCCCAGCCAGCTTCTTCTCTTTCCTTAGCCGAGTCTCTCACACTACACATTTCGCTTCAGTACACACCCTTCCTGTTTCTCTTCTACCCGGGGGGGGGGGGGGGGGGGGGGGGGGGGGGGGGGGGGGG